ACGATCTGTGCGCCGCCGACGGTGCCATTCCAGCGTTCAAGCGTTTCTGGGCGCACAGCGTGGACTACAAGAAGTACGGCAATTCCGTGGGGAATTGGGTAAAGAAGACCACGCAGGTGGACAAGATGCAGGTGCTCCGCGAGCGGAAGCTCAACCACGAGGAGACCGACGTGTGCACTCTTCTTAACCTGGAGACCGGCAAGCGCATGTCCAAGCGCGAGAGCTTGCGCCGTAGGATCTTTTGCGCCACGATGAGCTTGGTGAACTCGCGGGAGTTCTGCATACACGTGCACGAGCAGACCCGCGGCGAGCAGAACGTTAAAGGTTCTCGGATAATCGCCCTGGCGCAAGAATTCACGGGGGAGCCCTTCACGGACAGTTTCGACAAGCGTTCCTTCTACCTGGAAGCTTCGCAGAAACAGGACCGGAAGCGAGCTCGGCTAGAAGCTATCCTCAAGGCCGAGGGCAACTGCGCGCTGGCGCTCAAAGATGACTGGAGGCGGTCTTTCTGCATTGCCAGGAGCCGCGCGTTCGGCGGCCTGCTCGGCAAGAACGCAGTCGCCCTGTATACGTTGCTGCTGGCGGAGGAGCCGACGGGCGGCTTCGCGAAGCAGGGCGGGTGCATCCCGGGGCCTGGCGCCCGGTCGGGGCTGCAGTTTCTCCAGGGCCGCTCGCTCGGCATGGCCGGTGGCAGTGCGTGCTGCGGGGTTCTCTCAGACGAGTTTGACGATGCCCTCGGGGAGTGCAAGAGGTTCCGCCGACGGTTGCTCGCCGTGAAGAAGCGCTACGAAAGCTGCGCGGCAGCTGCCACCTTGACGCAGGAGCGGGGCTTCTGGGAGCGCCTGGCCGCGAGGATGGAGATCTGGCGGACGTCCGATGATCTCCGCCTGCAGTTCCGGCTGTGCGAGTCGTCGAAGGTGGGCGGGATCGTGCTCGCGAGCCGTGGCCGGTGGCGGGGCGGGACAGGCCCGCGCGGCGCGCCCGCGCCCGAGGGCGACGAGGGCGACGCGCTGGAGGACGAGGTCAACGCCGAGCCGACCCCCGGTGAGCACGCCGCGCCCGACGCCCTCCAGCGCCTGGTTGACGAACTGCGCGCCCGGGAGGCCCGGCAGGAGCAGCGCGGCCGCAGGGCTGGGGCCAACGGCGAGCGGAAACTCGTGGAGCGCACCCGCAAGCGAACGCCGGCCGAGCCAGCGGCGGCGGCGACCCCAGGGCCAGCGACAGCGGAGGCGACGCCTGGGCTGGCGGCGGCAGCGGCGGGGGCCGACGAGCAGGGGCTCGAGGAGCGCGCCCGCAGGCGGCCGCCGGCTGAGCCAGCGGCGGAAGCAGCCACGCCCAGGCCAGCGGCGGCGGCGACGACGCCCGGGTCAGCGACGGCGGCGGCGGCGGCGACGCCCGGGCCAGCGGCGGCGGCGGCGGCGACGCAGGGCGCGTCGACCGGGCCGGCGGCGTCGGCGGCGACCCCGAGCGCGGCGGAGATCCCGATCCCCGCGCCCCGGGAGCGCGCCCGCAAGCGGCCGCGGTAGGTTGTCGCCAGGGAGTTGGCCTTCGCCGAGTTCATCCGCGAGGCCTGAGAAGCGGCCCGCCCAGGCCTCGCCTTCTGTCGACTGCTCCATTGTTAGGCTTCGCGCCGCGGACGACCCGCGCGCGTCGCTGGGACCTTCCCGGGGCGACCGGCGCGCGTCGCGGGAACTTCGTGCCGCGCTCAGCCCAGCGCCTCGCGTTCCCGTTATCGCCCGGCCTAGCGGCCGGAGCCCTTGCCGCTATCAGCCAGCCAGCTAGCTCTCTGTGCCCCGCGCAGCGGACGACCCGCGCGCGTCGCTGGGACCCCGTCGGGGCGACCGGCGCGCGTCGCGGGGACTCTGTGCCGCGCTGCGCCCGCAGCCTTGGACATTGGAGTGCGCGGGCAAATCGGGAGAAAAAGAAAGGAAGGAAGCGGGCGCGATCCCCGTGAGGGGCATTCCGAAATGGGCGTCGCGGCGCGCGGCGCTGCCATCGGGGTTTTCGGTGGAGCTCCCTGCGGCGGCCACGCTCAGTGTCACGGTACTCAGAGTCTGGAAGGTCGTCACTATCGCAAATTTTCGGATCGTCGTTGTCCGCGTATCTTGTGTCAGAGTGGAAAAGCGCCCTTGAGTTCGGCACTATCGCAGATTTTCAACGGCGTCACGGATTTCCCAGATTCTTTCTCAATGTCCGATTACTCCGTCCTGTGATCGGGCTTTCGTGTCTGCGTTGTTACTATCGCACACGTTCAAAAACGTGGTTCGCCTCGCAATTTCGTTTCCCAGGTCGGCCCACCCTGTCTTCTGTTTGTATATATGTGCGTTGTTACCGACCACCTGTATGTCGTAAGTGTGGTTCCGAATGTCGGTTTGTTTTGTCTTGTACCCCGCCTTGCCCGCTTCCCCGTCTGCGCGCCGGCGCGCGTGGCGTGTCAGAGCAAAATCCACTTGGGGAAAAATCCGCGCGCTGGGGTTTTGATGCGGACGTTCTATTGATTTGCTTCGAAGTCGTTGCGAAAACGTTGCCGGGACACCTCCAGGATTTTGACCATAAAATCCTGGAGGTCTCCTGCTTTTCACCGGGTTTCTATGGCGACGTGAAAATAACGTCGCGCATGCGGCTTGCGCAGTTGCTTCGATCCATAGGACGTCAGCCTTAATGTCGCGGCGACGCGTCGCATGACAAAAAATAAGGCCCCCGAAACTACACCCCAGCACGCCTGAGTGGAACGCAACATGTCTCAACCGATGGCTCGTTACTCTGAAAGCAGCGGGCCTCGCGTGCGCCAGGTGCACCAAGTGTTCGGGTGCGCCAGCACGCATCGTGCAGCTGTTGCAACTTTCCTGCGTTATCCTCTGCTTCCTCCTGCTCCTCGTCCTCCTCTTCCTCCTTCCTCCTCCTCCTCGTCCTGCTCTTCCTCGTCCTGCTGCTCTCGCGCACGGCGCCTTGGCATGACGGCGCGTGAGTCGCCCGGGGCATGGGGGGAGGAGGAGGAGGGGGAATGAGGACGAATATGAAGAGGGGACGGACGAGGGGGTGGAGGAGGAGGAGGAGGAACATGAAAATGAAGATGAAGAAGGGCCCCGGTGATGATATTATCGAAAACGCCTACGGCGAATCACCGCCGCCCCTGCTTTTGCGGGAAACGCCTCTGTAGCCAAACGTTGGACCCCAGCTTGGCCAAGCTGTCGGATCATGTATTCCCCCTGCCGTTCTGGATGATTTTCGGGGAACAGGAGGAGGAAGAGGAGAAGACAAGGAGCAGCAGCAGGAGGAGGATATCCGCCATGGGGGCCATTCGAAACGCAAATTCTTGACGCTTCGCGTATCCCCACCAGCCCATCCAGAAACCATGGGAGGCTGTCTTGAGGCTTCTTGGAGACTACCTGGAGCCATGCTCGGCCAGAGGCTGTCGGAGGCCATATTAAGCCATGCTCGGCTATCTTGGGCCCATCTTGAGGCTGTCCTGAGGCCTCTTGGAGGTCTGGCGGAGGCTATCTTTAGCCATGCTCGGCTGGCTTGGGCAATTTCGAAGGCCATCTTAGGCGATCGAGGGCCCTCGTGGAGCCATCTTTGGCCAAAAAGGAAGGGGGTGGAGGGCGGGGTAGAGGGTGGGGTGAAGGGGGGGAGGCTCTTAGAGCCCTCTTGGGGCTCTTTTGGTGGTTCTTGGGGCCCTTTTGGAGCTCATTGGGGAGATCTGGGAGGTCTCTTTGGCCGTCTTGGAGGCCACACCTCTGCCAGCGCGCGTTGCGGCTCAAGCTGGCGCCGTTGGCCCTCGGGTGCGCGCCTGGCGCGCGTCGCCGCGGACAACCCCCGCTCGTCGCCCGAACTCCCCGCCCAGGACGACGGGCGCGAGTCGGGGGGATTCCCGGCGGCGGGGCCCCTGCGGCGCGCTGCCGAGGGCGCCGCGCAGATGCCTCCGAAGGGCAGCGGGGCCCAATGCAGGGTCGGTGTTGTCCAGAAGACTGGTGCCGCGGGCCCGAAGTTCCAAGTCCGCCTGATATCGCGCCAAGGATCATCTCGATCATATGCGCATGGGCCCTTGCGGGACACCGAGCACGCGGCCACGGCGGACCGGAGGCGGATCGAGCGCGCCCCAGATCGGCACGCGGAGCTCCGTCGTCTGAAACAAGAGCCCGCGCAGGTCCTGGAGGGCGACCCGCGGACGCCGCAGCGTCTTCGGGAGGGCCCAGTTCGGCGCAGGATGACGGGCAAGCGCGCGGCGTCGCCGCGCCCGCCCCCGACGCCCGGCGCCCCCCTGAAAGCGGCTCTACAGACGCCAGGCCCTCCTGCCGCGGTCGCGCGCGGCCGGGGACCTCCCGGGTCGGCGCGCAGCCAGGGGCCGACTCCCCGGACAGCGGGAGGCCGACAGGATCGGGCTGCCATGGCGTTCCGCGAGGTCTTGGCCTGGCATGAGCAGCACCGCCGCATGCCCCTGCGCACTCATGACGGGCCTGAAGATGAGCTCGCGCGGAAGTGGCGCAGGTGGAGAACCTCCGCGCGGCTGACGCCGGCTGCGCGGGGCCTGAAGATGCGCATCGAGGCGCTGGCGGCGCAGTCGGAGGCAGCAGTGCAGGATGATCGTCGCGCTGCGCGCGCAGAGCAGGCGCTGCTGATGCTGCGCCAGCATTGGTGCGAGGGGAGCGACGTCCACGACGAGGACCGTTGGAGGCAGCCTGCCCTGCATCGGTCTCGCGGCGGCCAGCACTCGTACCCGGGCCTCTCTAACTTATGCAACACCTGCTACCTCAACGCGCCTCTGCAGTGCCTCCTCCACTGCCCCGCCGCGCGCGCCGCGCTCCTGGGGGCGGAGGGCGAGGGCGAGCCGCTGGTCGTGCAGGGCGCGGGGTGGGGGAAATCGCGTCGATGCCTCAGCTACAGCACGGCCCCTTGTTGACTTTGGCGTTCTTCTCTCCGCAGGGGGGGAAGGCGATTGGCGCGTCGCCAGGGCAGGGGGGCGGGGGGCAGTCGGCATGGGTTTCGCGCCCCTCCTCGAGGAGCTGCGCGCCCTGGCGACCGCCTGCGCGCGCGGAGTGCCGCCGAGCTTGGCGGAGGGCGACGGCGGCGAGGCGCGCGCGCGCCTCCGCGTGGACCGCTGGTCGCCGCGCGCCCTCGTGGAAGCGTTCATTGCGAAGCGCCGCTTCGAGTGCGAGCTTGGGAGGTGCGCGGGCGCGAGCGGGGCGCTAGTGGACGTGATGCAAGACGCGCCAAGCCTTCACAGTCTGTTCCACTTCATTTCGTCCAACGGCGAGGAGGAGGTCGTGATGCGTCTCCCGTATTTCGTTGACGGGGCAGACGACGGCGACGACGCCATATCTCCTCAAGAGTTCATGAGCATCGTCCAGGGCACGCAGAAACTCAACGTGCGAGAGCTGATACGTCGCGGCGCTTCCATGGGGGTACTGGCAACCAGGCCGGAGGTGCTGGCCGTCTACGTGGATCCGAGATGGAGGCGTGGCGACACGTTGTTCTACATGAGTGGCGTCGGCATTCTCCCCGACTGGGGTGACGTGCCCGAGGTGGCTATGCAGGTGGGTGGGGGAGATGTCGTGTACCGTCTGCGCTCTTACGTCCAGTACAAGTTGCCTGAAGAAAAAAGCGTTGCCCCTGCTGGCCTCCTGACAGACCCCGAGGGTCACTGCGTGGCTCACTTCGAGGAGGGCGACGAGTGGTACACTGCCGACGACCTGGGCGATCGCCCGCACGTGGCCCAGCGGCCGCCCGGGACCCAGCATGGGATGCCCGTGCTGGTCTTCCTTGAGCCGGTGGGCTCCAGAGCGGCCCGCGCCGCGGAGTGCCCGTGGCCGCCCGGGCAGGTCGTTGACAGCGCGGGGGGCGCGGGCGACGACGGTGACGTGAGCGCGGGCGGTGAGGACTGCCCCCGCCTCGTCGGGGAGTGCGAGGGGGAGGGCGGGGCCTGCGACGCCAGCCTGTCGGGCGCGCGGAAGCGGCCCGCGGCGTCTGCGAGGAGCGGCGCCCCTGCCAGGAAGCGGCTCCGCCTTCGAGGGAAGCAGAGCGCAGCTGGGCGGCAGCAGAGCCGCGCCGGGAGGCAGCAGAGCCGCGCTGGGAGGCAGCAGGAGAGGCAGCAAAGCCGCGCTGGGAGGCAGCAAAGCCGCGCAGGGAGGCAGCAGGAGAGGCAGCAGAGCCGCGATGACCAGAAGCGCGGTTGTCGGCCAGAGGAGGTGCTGCGGCAGGGGCGGAAGCCGAAGAGCAAGGGCGACGACGCAGACGGGTCCAGGCAGGACGCCCAGAACAACGCCGCCGCCCCTGTCCTGCGCAGCAGCAGAGGGGCGAAGAGCTTGCAGGCGGCCTGTGACGCGCGCCGGGAGTGCGGCGACCTTTTCCTGCTCTTGCACATGCTGGAGCCGCTGGCCACTGCCGATGACTTGCTGAAGCACTACCTGGACTTCTTCGTCTACGCCGGCGACGACTGCGCCAACCGATGGGCGACGTTCCTGCGCGCCCCCGATCGGCCTGACAAGTTGGCTGGCAGGCTGCGGGAGGCGCTCGGGGTGACGGAGGAGGAGATTTCCGACGCCGAGCGCCGACTGGGGAGCGGGGAGTGGCACATGCACCACGTCGCGGAGCTCCTGGACGAGCGCCTGAACTCCGCCCGCAGCGCCCACTCCGTCGCGGCCGCGGTCCGCTCGGCGGTGGGCGACGGGCCGGGCGCGCAGGGCGACGGCAACCCGCTGAGGGCGCACCTGGCAGAGGCGTGGCAGCGCAGACCCTGCAACCGCGGCCCGCCCCGGCACTCGGCCATGCCGGCGCGCCTTCGGGATCGCTCTGAGTGGTTCCAGTGCCCCGCGCCTGCGCTGCATTATGCCTGCCGCATGTGCGAGGCCGAGTTCCCCAACAGGGAGGCTTTCAAGGCGCACCAGGGCAGAGTCCACGGGGGGCAGCGGTGGTGCCAGTCGCAGTGCGTGGCGCGGTGCGAGCTGGAGCCCTACCAGCCGTCGCCGACCGAGGAGCGCCAGGTGAGCGGGCGGCGGGGAACTGCGCCGAGCCCCCGGTGACGCGCCCTTAGCGCTGGTGCTCCCGGCGCCAGCGATAAGGGCATCGAGAGCGCTGGGGGTCGGGCGGTGCTCCCCGCCATCGCTGCAGGTGGTTGCCAGGTTCCACATTTCCCAGTGCTGCGCCACCGTCGACCCCGTGGACGAGCCGTTCGTCCCGAAGCCCGAACCGGAGGTGCAGAAGCAGCTGCTCCACGCGGAGATCGTCGGCAGGATCATCGGCAAGATCGGGCAGGGGGGGCCCGCGGGGGAGCAGGCGGCCATCGCGGCGGAGTCGGCAGCCCGCGCTTTGGCGGCGTGTCAGGCAAGGGGGCCCCGTGCTTTCCAGGCCTGCGTCTGCTGCGCCATGCAGCAGTGGTCCGAGAACCTCCACTCGGAGTACCTCGTCGGCGACAAGTGCACCATAAAGGACCGGGCCCAGTTCGCGGACTGCCTGTCGGCCGAGTGGTATCACCAACGATGGCCCCTCATACCGCGCGACGAGCTGATGTCGTCGGCTGTGGACTTTCCTCATGGCGACTGCGAGGGCTCGCCGACGTTCACGAAGATTCTCTTGCACAAGAGGCGCGTGCCACCAGAAGCGCTCGAAGGGAAGGTGCCAGTGAAAGTGTGCGAGGATTGCCGGAGAGACCTGTGGTCTGATCACCCCAAGGTGCCGCTGATGGCGCTGGTGAACGATCTCTGGCTGGGCCGCCACCGCCCACTGCTCAGGAAGGCCGCTCTCGCGCACCAGATGCTGCTCGCGCTCGGCCGCGTCGTGTCCACGAAGATCTACCTGTCCAGCAAGGGCGCCGACGAGGCCGTCCGGCAGGAGCAGCAGTCGTGGAGGCAGAAGTTCTTGCAGTACGCCATGCAGGGCACCGCCATCGTGTTCGGGAACGGGAACGTGGACCACGCGATGCGGAGCTTCCCGCCGGAGCCCGACATGCTCAGGGACACGTTCGTGGCCGTCTTCGCGGGCGCCGACGACGACGAGGAGGGCATCCCCCTGACCGAGGAGCAGAAGCAGGAGAGGGCCTTGAGAGCCATGAGGAGGTGGCGTTGCGCGTCGACAGGGCGGAGTACGACGCCCAGGCGCGGTTGTTGAAGCAGCGCAACTACGTGTGCAATGACCCGGGCGTGCAGTGCCGATCGGACCTCGTGGACCGGTTCCCCCCGCAGCCGGACGTGCCCGACTTCGTGCTGGCCTGCGCGAAGTATATCCCCACGGACGCGGCGTTGGACGACGTCGCGCAGGCGCAGGGGCCCGCCTCGGCCACCATTGGCGCGCAGGCAGAGATGAGCGCGGCCGCCGAGGACGCGCAGGAGCTGACCAAGTGGCTGTCCGTCCTTGAGGACCACATGGACGACGTCAGCGAGCTCACGTCCTTGCCGGCGCTCCAGGGCATGCTCGAGAGGATGGAGAGTCAGGCGGGGCGCGTGGTGGCCAACGAGCTGATGTCCAGGCTCGAGGAACAGGGAGGCGAGGATAGGGCGCTGCGGCTGGACGAGATCGGGCGTCACCGCCTGCGGGACCTCTGCCAGGAATTCCACGCGCGCTGTCGGAAGATCCCCCCTGGGGAGGACATGGCGAAGTTGCACCGGCGCGTCCAGGCGCTGGAGACGAACAACTGCCAGGCGGAGGAGGGCGCGGGCGACCTGGCGCGACCTGCAGGAGTCGCGGGGGCTCCCGCCGAGGACGACCCGCGCTCCTTGCAGGGGCCGCCCGGCCCCGACGGCCAGCGAAAGGCGAGGCTTCGGGTGCCCACTTCGAGGAAGGCGGAGAGCTGGTGGAATCCGAAGTACTGGTCGATTGCCAGGCCCGCGGACTTCTGCTACGGGGACTGCGCCTGGGCCTCGGCCAGCTCCCCCCGGGCGGAGACGAGGGCCCGCAGAAGCAGAAGGAGGGTCGGCTCTGCTTCAGCGTGGCGCACTTCATCAATAATCTTCTCACGCGGGAGGAGATGGAGTACGACGTGCCTGCCGACGTGGAGAAGTACGTGGCCAGGCCCATCAGTCGTTTCCGGAGCTCCTGGTACGACGTGCACCTGCTGTGTTCTTTCTGGAGAGTCACGGAGACGACCAACAGCACCTACACCTTCATGAAGACGCCCGGGGCGTTCGGGGCCGCTCGCGCCTGCGCGGACATCACTCCGGAGATGATCGAGGAGGTGCAGCTCAGGGCGCAGCAGACGGGCGGGAAGGCCACGCTGCACGGCATCCTCAAGGACAAGGGCACCCCGAACGAGGTGCGCAAGGCCTTCGCCACCCTGGGCCAGGCCACCGCCAGTCAAGTCGGGTCCGACGGACACCGGCGGGAGCTGCGTGGAGAGGGCGAGGCGTATACCTTTCGCTTCGGCCCGCCCGTTCAGTTCGTCACCCCGAATCTGGCAGACACCAAGCAGCCCCTGATCCTCATCGTGCAGGGAGAGGAGTATACCTTCGGCAACGACCTGAGCGAGGCGGAGCAAGTCACATTCAGCGAGATGTCACAGCGCATCGCCGCGGACCCCGTGGGCCAGGCCGTGGTGTTCGAGCTGATGACGAGGCTGTTCTTCGTCCACGTCCTCGGCCTGCGCCCGGAGACCGTCGGGTGGCAGCGAGGAGAAGTTCGAAAGGCTTCGGAACACTGGATCTCCGACGGCGTGGCGGCCGACCTCATGGGCGTGCCCACGGTGTTCGGCCCCCTGGCGGCGGCCTTCGGTCCGGTCGAAGCTCAGGGCCGCGGCTCGCTGCACCCGCACATCCTCATCTGGCTGCTGCAGGGTCAGCTGCGCGTGCTCTTGGGCATGCTGCAGCGCGACGAGGCGCACTTCCAGGAGCGCTTGAACCTGTGGATGCGGCAGGTGGTGCAGGCCGTGGTCGCCACTCAGCAGAGCGCCGTGGAGCTGCTGCCCCTGCAGCTGCAGGGGGGCGAGAACAAGTGCGGGGTCGCGGTGCCGCCGCTGCCGTTCGGGCCCAACGAGAAGCGGTACTTCAGAGCCGACGGGGGCGCGGAGATGGCGACTGCAGAGCAGCTCGGGGTCGAAGGCGAGACGGAGCCGCAGGAGCTTTGGTTCTACGAGCCCAGGGTAGACGACTACCACAGGGCGATTCGCCCCGATCTGCCGCTGCGCAACAACGACGGCGAGGCCGTGGACGGCGATGCGGCGTGGACAGAGCAGAGGGCCGCGGATAACAAGGGGTACTGGCGGCGGCCGCTCTCCAGCAGCGCCTCCGGCATCTTCCCGAGGTACCGCGGCGGGGGCACCCTGGCGGAGTCTCTCCCGAGCGACGAGTGGATTCGCGAGATGTGCCGCGACGTGCGCGAGCTCGTCATCGGCTGCGGCATCCACGTCTGCAGCCCCTCCTGCTACAAGTACTATTCCGACAAGACGCGCGGCTCGCAGATCTGCCGCCACAACTTCTACAACCTGGTGACGCTGCGCACGTGGCCCGAGGGGGGGGACTCACAAGAGTGCCGGCTCCGCACGCGCGGAAAGGCTCTGCGCGGGTGCATCGGCATCTTCCGGGAGACGGACTACGGCATGGCCGGGCGCATCGTCACCTTCCAGCTCCACCCCGGGGAGACCTCGACGAAGTACGCGGCGGTCGTCTCGGCGCGGTGCAACGTGGACGTGCAGGACATGAGACGGGTGCTGCCCCCGCGCCTGTGGATGGATGCGTCCGAGCTGGAACCGCCGGCGAACGAGGAGGACCGCAAGAGCTACAACCATGGCCTCTACCCTCAGCGCTGCGCCGACTTCTCGGTGGGTGCTCGGGAGGACTGGGGATGGTTCCAGCATCTGAACACCACGTCCGCGGAGAAGTGGGACCTCGTCGTAGTCACCGACTGGCACGAGATCTTCAGGGAGCTCGCGAACCGCGACAGCCCCGCCGTGGACGGTGGCGACACTGCGCGCGCCGATCTCCAACGCGACCTGGAGCGGCACGCGCTGGCCACCTTCGTGGACGCCCACAACGCGAGCTACTACGTGAACTCGTACACCACGAAGGTGAACCCCAGCATGGACGACGTGCTCTGCAAGCTCCTCGACGGCGTGCGCCGCCTGAAGAGCCAGTGGGACGACAGGGGGGCGCAGGCCGCGGGCGGCGCCGGCGACGAGGCCCAGTCGACCGCCGCAGGAAAGCGCAAGGAGGATTTCAAGCGCACGCTGCAGGTGTTGGCCCGCTTCGAGACCTGCCTCCGCAGGGCCTCCTGGAAGAGCGGCAGCGAGATGGTCTTCCCCATGCTCTTCGGGCACCTCTCCTTCATGACGCACCGTTGCTGGAAGGTGTTCATGCGGAAATCCATCTACCTGGCAGCGGAGTCCTGGCGCAGGCGATACGGCCAGGCCGACGCCGCGGAAAGCGCGCCGACCGCCTCGATCACGTACGCGGCCCCCGGCACTGGACAGCAGGTCGCGATGCCGGGGTGGCGCGAGGTGCAGCGCGAGGGCGAGACGGTGTACGTCAGCCCCGACGGCGAGGAGTTCGACGCGATCGAGTACGCGCACCAGGCGTTCCAGATCGCGAACGCCAGCGGCGGCTCGCTGCGCGACGCGACGAAGGCGCTGAACAAGATGCGGGAAGGAGAGGCCGAAGAGGTGCCCGAGGCACCGGGGCCGACTGTCGAGGGGCTCGCGCAGGGCAAGTTCAGGGGCGCCGTGCTGAGCCAGCACGACGACTGGATGCACCGCGGAGACCACCCTATTGTTCGAGACATGAGCTTGTACGTCTACAGCATCTGGGTGTACCGCGTGGGACTGCCGTTGTACGCCCTTCCGGCCGGGGAGCTGGAGCCCGAGGGCAGCGGGGGTCGCACCCTGCACGTCGACATCGCCTTCGACTCGTCCTACTCGGCGGCGCGGAGCTGGACTCAGAGGCTGGCCGTCGAGCCGCGCATCCCGAGGGCCGACGGCTTCCAGTTCGTGGGCGCGGAGTCGAACTTGGAGACGCACTACCTCATGAAGTCGGTGCTGCTCCGGCCAGTGCACCTGCCGGACGCCGACGGGCCCAACGACACGAAGGAGCTGCGCTACCTCTGCGCGTACGAGCACCTGTGCGCGGCGCCGGAAGGCGAGCCGGAGTGGCCGGCGCAGCCGGCGGGGGAGGGCGTCGCGGGCCCGTTCCAGCGCGGCTGGGAGTCGTTCGCCACCGCCCAGGAGCAACTGGCGAAGACGGCCCGGGCGAAGTGCCTCAGGAATGACGTCGGGTCGTGGGCGACGCCCAGCATCTGGAACACGGAGGAGGTCGAGTCCGCGCTGCGCGAGAAGCGCAGCGACCGCCGCGAGGACGTGCAGCCTCCTTGCCGGTGCGCCCAGTGCACGGAACTGGGCAACTGGCTGGACAGCATGCTGACGGTGCAGGAGTACCTGGCCCTGGAGACCACGAAGACCGCGGCCAACTTCGACGGCATCTCCAAGGCGAAGGCTTCGAAGCCGAAGAGGCCGCAGAAGGACGACGTGCACGTCGCGGAGGCCCCCGTGTTCCGGGAGGGCGCCGAGGACTCGGGGGCGGGCGCCGCGCAGGTGGAGGCCCAGGGCATCCGCGCTCAGGACGGCTTCGCGAAGCTGGGCGCCAACGTTGTCCTGGAGCATCACTTCGACCCCGAGACGCTCGGGCAGATCTTGCGCTTCGACACCGCCGAGCGCACGCTGGCCTTCGTGAAGGAGCTCAAGAAGGCCGCCACGATGATGGAAAACGGCGCGCTGCCCGGGCCGACTGACGCCGACGCGCCGCGGCGCGCAGCCCGCGCCCTGAGGGAGAACGTCCTCACTCCGTTCAGGGCCCTGCGCGACCTCGACGCAGACGAGCTGAAGGACCTGGTGGAGACCCAGCGGAAGAGGTTCGCCAAGGGGGGCACGAGGGGCGCGGACGTGCCCATGGACGACGCCCGCGCGCGGGACGACGTCGGGGCAGCGGGCGCTGGCGCGGTGCTGGCCGAGGCGGCGCAGGCGCGGTGGGAGCCGTCGGAGGAGATGCAGCGGCCCAGCGACCTCGTCAAGCGCCTCGTCAAAAAGTTCGAGGATGGCGTGGTCAACCCGAGCACGGGGAAGCAGGAGCGCCGCCCTCTGAAGCCCGACCAGGCCCTGTTCGTCACGGCGTTCGCGAACGCCTGCAACGTGGTGTGGGGCGAGGAGCAGAAGATCGAGGACGGCAGCGTGGCCAAGCACGCGAAGCGGAAGACGTTCCAGTTCCTGCTCCTGGGCCAGGGCGGCAGCGGGAAGACCGCCATGGTGCAGGAGATCGTGCTGCCGGCCATGCACGCGCTGTTCCCTGTGGAAACGGGCAAGGCGAAGTCCACGCTGATAGTCTGCGCGAAGTGGTCTCAGGCCGCGAACATCTCCACGGACGCTCACAAGGCCGTCAGTTGCCACCGAGCGGGGGTCATAGGAGTGCAGTCCTTCAGGAACAAGGACATACCCGCGGGGGGCAAGCTGAAAGCGCTGCAGGACACGTGGGAGGCGGTCAGGTGCTTAATCCTGGAGGAGGTGAGCATGATCTCGCCCAACCTGTACAACATGCTGGCCTTCCGGTCCTACCTGGGACGCAAGGCCGAGTGGGGCGCGGAGGAGCGGGAGTGCGACCAGGTCGGCGGCGCCTTCGGCCGGATGCCCATCGTGATTCACCTGGGGGGCTTCCTGCAGCTGAAGCCGACGGGAGGCAAGGTGTCGCTCATCTCCAGCTTCGAGGAACTGGCGGCGGCGGGCATCAACCTCGCCCCAGAGTGCCAGGCCGTGATGAAGCTCTTCTGCAACACGCCGCTGTGCTTCGAGCTCCAGGCGTCCAACCGCTTCAAGGACTCGAAACTCAGGGACCTCATGGCGTTCCTGCGCAAGCCGGGGAAGCAGGTCCCGCCGGCCATCCGGGCCACGTGGAACGCCATGCAGCTGAAACCCGATGATCGCCGGCTCCGGGAGGAGAGGTTCCAGAACGGCCACATGATCGGGTCCTACTGGGACACCGTGGCGCGGTGGATGAACATGCGTGCTCAGCGGGACGCGGACGTCCTGAAGAAGCCCCTCTTTCTCGTGCAGGCCGCCGACAGGTGTGCACCGACGATGAGCGTCAAGGACGCCGCCAAGATGATGAACTGTGCCAACCCGAAGAACACCGGTGGCATGCACGGGCTGCTCCCGGTGCACGCGGGCATGCGGATCCGGCTCTTGGAAGCGCTCGACCTCAAGAACGGCCTCGTCAAGGATGCCGAGGGGCAGATCGTGCACATCGTCGTGGACCCTCGAGATCGGGACGACGTCGAGAGAGCCGAGAGAGAGGGAGAGAAGAGGATCTACCTGAAGCGCTTGCCGCTGGGGTTCTGGGTGCGCATGGAGAAGTACGCGAGCGCGCCCTTCGTGGACGACCTGAAGCGCCACGACGACAGCCTCGCGGGGGACCTCGCGGGCCCGCTGGTGTTCATCGAGCCCCGCACGTCGGAGCCGTTCACATTCCGCACCTCCAAGGTCACGCGGACGGGCTTCCCGTTCTCGCACGGCAGGGTCATCACCACGGTGGCGTGCCAGGGGCGCGCCATGCGAGAAGGCGACGGGGCAGGGGAACAACGCTTCGGGGACAG